ACCTTATGGAGCTGCTGACTTAATTTGGATTAAACAAAAGTGCAAATAATTGATATTCATTTTAATTGTCCATTTTGATTTGTCGTTTTTAAGACTAGTTGTGGGTTTAAGTAGTGTTTCACTGGCGATGTTTTCCCGTAACGTATAACTACAAAGTGATATTTTTAAATTTCCTGTCACCTTAACATCTTTTAATACAAAACCACGGTGGACCGCCTCGGCACCCTGACCACTGGGCTTAGCAGGCTTAGCAAGTTTTCTGGGGGAAACCCTGAATTACATTGAATATAATTTCAGACTTTTGTGCAACTTTTCTTCAGGTTAACTTAGAAAGTGAGCCATTGTTGCTAGGGAAGTTCAAATGTGAAAAATTGGACTGATATTGATAGGTGATAGTAATACTGCTGTTATGTTAGATTTACCAATGTTTTATTTAATTTTTTTTATTACTTGATTAATCATAGGAATAATTGGTAGATTACTCGATTACTAAAATATTCGTTTACAACAGCCCTACACTAGACAACAAAAAAATCATAAGCATAACAGGTTCAATCGGGTTTAATCGTGCAGTCTGGTGTCCAGCCATACAGCAAGAGTAACACACCCACACACGAGCTGATTTCTCTCACCGACATTCAGATTTCAGGCAAAAGATCCCGTAAAAACCCACTATATCAGTCGTGAATTTAAAATAAACGAACGCGGCAGGCAAACGTTTTATTCAAAAAAGAGAATGTTTTAATCACACTAACAGAATTTAGAGACCAATTAACTTAACAGTCGTGATTTCAGACTGTGGCAGGAAGCTGGAGCGCCCGGAGAGAAACCTGCAATTATAGGAAACTACTTTTTGATATTTATGAAATTTAATCACAAAAGTGTATGTTTGACATTTGCTAAAAGTAGTTTTGGCCAAAACTACTTTAAGCAAAAAGAGAGGGGAGAAGACATGGGGCAAAGGTCAACTAGAAAAGCCAATTAAACCAACAGTCATCTTTTTGGACAATGGGAGGAAGCCGGAGAACCCAGAGAGAACCCACTAATGCACTTGGAGAACATGCAAACCTCATGAAGACAGAAAAACCCTGGCAAATGTTTTATCCAAAGAAAATAAAGGTTTTAATCACACCTAAGCAGAATTTAGAGACCAATTAACTTAACAGTCGTGATTTCAGACTGTGGCAGGAAGCCGGAGCGCCCGGAGAGAAACCTGCAAATAGGAAACTTTTTGATATTTATGAAATTTAATCAAAAAATGTATGTTTGACATTTGCTAAAATGTCAAACATGTTATTCTAGAGTAGTTTTGGCCAAAACTACTTTAAGCAAAAGAGAGGGGAGAAGATATGGGGCAAAGGTCAACTAGAAAAGCCAATTAAACCAATAGTCATCTTTTTGGACAATTTGAGGAAGCCGGAGAACCAACTCTTCCTTCTGAATTGATGTCCAGGGAAGAATAAACCTCAAAAGTAATGGTGACCCTACAATTTAGAGAAGTATTTTTGGACAAATTAACGGCTCCCTTTTCCTCCGAGATATGTTCCCCGTCCGGGGAACTTGGTACCTCAGAGAAGTATTCTCTGGCAAAACCAGAGAGGGAGCCGATGACGTCAAAGCTTTCGCTGTCAAATCAGCAAAAGTTTTGGCGAAGTCAGCCGCAGAAAAATCTTCCCCAGCCGGGGTAGACTTTTCTGCGGCTGTACTCTCAAGGTCAGCCGCAGAAAAATCTTCCCCAGCCGGGGTAGACTTTTCTGCGGCTGTACTCTCAAGGTCAGCCGCAGAAAAATCTTCCCCAGCCGGGGTAGACTTTTCTGCGGCTGTACTCTCAAGGTCAGCCGCAGAAAAATCTTCCCCAGCCGGGGTAGACTTTTCTGCGGCTGTACTCTCAACCTCAGGATGTCAAGTCGACTTTGAGCAAACTTCCCCAGCCGGGTCAGTTTGCCCAGAGACAGTACCTTCGTCCTCAGTACTGTCTCGTGTGGCCTCAGTCAGGTCTCTGTCTGTGATCCCACAGACATCCGATGGAGTTGAGAACAAACCTCCCCAGCCGGGTCGGTTTGTTCCTTGGCATCCATTGAAAGACCTTCCTAAACCTAGTCGCTCTCTTCATCCCGACAGTCCCCAGAGCACTCAGAGAGCTCTTCCTCAGAGAGATCTTCGTCCGAATCCTTCTCACAAAAGTATTTGTCCCAAAGCTTAATCATTCCTGTGGTGACCATGTACCCAATGCCCCAACCAAGCGGGATGATAAATGGGACAATCGCATGCGAAATACTAAACATCTCTACAATTTCTATAAATCTGATTGTCCAAAAACTGTCTGGCTTATGACTGATGCCTTGAGATTCAAGCTTTAGAACTTCTTTGATCTACTGTGATGTACATGATGTCATCAATGGCCTCATCAGTGAGCTCACTGGACTTCTGGGACAAGGTATTGCTTCTGATCGTAGCTATGGAAACGATCAGATCGGTTCTGCATGAGTCAAGCTGAAATAATGACTAAATACTTAAATAAGTAATCATTTTTATTTATTTAACGAAGAGATTAACAATAGACTTCAAAATGATTGAATTTTTGCGTTTGTAGTTTTCTGTACCTGCTGTGCTATTATTTTTAAACAAAAATCTTTGGTAAGCTAACTGTAGCGTCGCACTTTGAGCTCACGTCACATTTAATATATATATATATATATATATATATATATATATATATGTTGTTGATTATAACAATAGAGAAATACAACCAGGTTACTCGTGTATATATATGACCTAATCTTCACCCAAAAACATATTTGATATTCATTGGAAAGATAAATATTATTCTAATGCAGCTATACTAATGACAATATAGACAGATATTAGTTCTAATAAGTAGGCATGTTATCAAGGTTTATTATTATGATATTTACAAAGCCTAAGCTGAATCACTTCCTCCAGCCTCTAAACTGCATTTGCCAAATCCTTGGCAGGCTTCTTTCTTTCACGTCACAACTGACTTTAAGCCAGGAACTTCATACTGTAGATATCAGATTCTAGTTACACCTAACCCTCCACAGGTCACAAGACCAAACAACTGCTTCAAACAACACTAAAAATCCAAATACCAAAGGATTTACAACAGTAGAATCCTACTCGGCTCATTGACTCTCAGCAGAGAATCAAACAAAACCAGCACACCAAGAGGCCTGGCGTTGGCCTTCAACAAACAACGTTAGCTTCAGCAACAGCAACGTAGCACAGCAAAACCCGCCACAGCTCCTACCCAGAGATGTCTTCTGAACAGTTCTTTGACTTAACCAACCTTTGATGGGTCGGGCGGATCCGCCAGGCACCTTGTAGGGATTCCTCAGCTTGATTGTAGTATATCCATAATCGATGCTAGCTCAGATGTTTCAGGGACGCCAGCAGCCAAACAAACCGCCGCTGAGAGGCCATGGTCGGGTCTCTCCTTGTGTGCTATTCTGTTTAGACACAAAAAGTGGCTTCACTAACGTCATTGAAAAAGACGAACAACTGAGAATAAGGTTTCCGAAAAATAACTTACCGAATAACCAACGCAGTGATTTCAAACATGACGCTCTGGCGGCCAACTCGTAGGTCAAGTACAAGGCACCAAGCTAGACCTCGATAAACACTGACACGATTTCAAGCGGACCCACAGAAGTTTCAGTCATAAGGTTGGGCGTCCACTCGGATTCCGCGTATTGGGAGATCCGAAAATATATATTTTATTTTAATCCAGATCCCAAAGTTCACGAATATCGGACCGACAGTTTCGTGTCTCCGTGGGTCCAGGGGTTAGCTGCATCTTTTTTTAAACACTCACGAAGAAGCTGCGTCATATTTTTAATCCAGCATGGCGCATGCGCATCACGCTCGTTAAAAACAAAAATGGCGCCGTTAGCCACTGTTGCCAGATTTGAAATTTACCAGTCCAAACAGAGGGTAAAATTAAACCTGTAAAACTTGCCCAACTGCATAGAAGCAGTAGGGATCTACACCTCTAATAAAACTCATGTTAATAGCACTATATGTTTTAATCATAATCTATCTCTAATATATTTTTAGAATAATTTAGAGAAACAGCAAAATGTTATATTTTTTACAATGTAGGAATGAAGTTTTTTTTTTTTAAGTTTTCATATATATATATGTAATAATTAAGTGTGCCATTAATTTATTAAAACTCTTCACTGTCCAAAGATTTGTCTTTTGATATGTCTTTAAATAATGTTTATTCAAAGATTGCTTACTTAAAAATGTACAATAAAGTTTTGTAAAATACATTTCTCCTCATCTTTGATTATTTTTTTGCAAACTTAAGTCAACAGAACTTAATTAAACATTCAGCTTGGATTTAATTTAAATGTAAATCATTAACGTCTTGTCGTTTTGATGTTTCTGAACTAAATAAACTTTATTTACTGGTCAGAATCCAGAGCTGTGCAGATCATTACCAACTTCAATTGTGATCTCTAAAGAAACAGACTCTCGGCCTTCAGCGAAACCACCGGTCAGATCCACTTTTCTGTCAAAAAAATCATCTAGTTTCAACCACATTTATTATCTTTCAAGTCCTTTCTTGACTATGAACTATTTACTTAAAATGTTTTTGTAAAATTACAAATTAAAAACCAAATTTCCCTCCACTTTTCAATTTTCTCTAATGTGTTTTGAAGAAAAAAACTTAAAACAGCAGTGAAGCTGAACTGATAATGTGCAGTGATTGCATAGTGATCAAGTTGTTTGCAGTTTCATATTTTTGAGATTCCAATAAAAACTTTATATGAGAATATTAGAAATTACATTCACAGCATCCTTAGATGTATTGTGAACAGAATGTCAACACCCATCTATACCTTTCAGTCCAGTGCGTATCAGTTCCTTTGATGATCCAACCAAATGACTGAATTCATTTTCAAATTTGTAGAATCAAAGTATCATAACATGCATCACAAAACGGCATATGCTATGAATGAAAGAGAGGAGACTTGTTCTGAGTTGCAGTTTAATTTTAGTGTTCAAAATAATAATGATTAAAAAAAAAATAACAGTATTCAAAAGATGTCTTTAACAACCCTGGGTCTTTGTGTGGGAAAACACCTTGCTGAGTGTTTCCTGATGTGGGAATATAATATCTGGAGCTATAAAATTACTGGATTATCGTTCTAAAAGAATATAAATAGTAGTGAATGTAGTTTTATAAACAATGCACAACCTAAACTATCATCATTATATTGCAAAGAGGAAAGAACAGGACAGCATTGTTATATCTTGTAAACTCAAACCTCAATTTCAGAAAACTTTATTTTATAAAACATAAAAAATAATTTTAAAAAAAGCATATACCAATATGTTTTGTTTGAGACATTAATTTGGCACAAGTGCAAAGTTAACTATCTGTAGTATCTTGACTGTTAAGTTTGAGAAAATGTGAACAATGGCGCCACCAAGATGTTATTGTCCACCATGGTGGACAATAATTTTAGAAGAGAGGACAGCCTTTGGTGAGGTGCCACGTTTATTTACACCTATGACAGTTTTCCATTCTTCAAAGCATTGAATACATCTATTGCATTTTTTATTTAAATAACTGCATTGCTTAATATTTATCTGCAAAAAAAAGAAGAAAATGCTTAATTGTGGCCCTCAAAACTGAAGTTGTCAAGAAACATTCCCTTTGTACTTGTGTCTCAAATTATAGTTTAAAAATAACAGTGAAAATATTTCCATTTCTTATTAGAAGTGTGAAAACTGCACACTTTTCTGGAAATGAAGTTTTGCATTGTTCCTACTGAACTGCACATTCTTCGGTTCCCGTACAGCTGCGCTATTGCTGACCTCTAATTATTCGGCCAGCATCTTCTAAGCTGCAGATTTCCACCCTCACGCTAATTAAAGCAGGTCACAGAAACAGATAAAAAAATAAATAAAAATAGTTTGGCCCACTGCAGATATTCTCCGTCAACTGAAGATGCTCTGTTTCGTGTGAGACAACAAAACAATTGGTAATATGTCAACAAAATGCACCCTGAACCAAAGGCGTATGCTCACACTCACTCACTCACTCATCATCCTGTAGCATCATTCACACAGATAAAGTGTCAGAAACGATATACTGTATCTACATTCTACTCCTTCGGATTGCTGGTGCTGCACAGTCCTAACTAAAAGAGCATAACAAGTAAGGCAAAGCCAAATTTCTCCACATCGTGTTTCGGTCCTGCAGCTCTGGTCACAGACGCGGCCCTGTGTAAGGGAGCACAGTCTCAACTTGGAAAAAAATCAAAAATAAATACACAGCACTACAGCATGAACGTCTCTATTGCTTACATTTCACTCTAGTACACAGCTATGGCCGCACTGGCAAACAAGCACCAGTCCGTCTCTGACCCTCCACCACTGTCACCAAAAGTCCAATCTGGCTCTTGTTTGTCACGCGAGGAGATCTTGAACAGGTTCTTCAGACGTGGCAGTGGAACTGAGAAGCGTCTCCCTCTCATGGTCCCGTGCGACTCGGCGTGTGGCAGTATTTGACGCACACCCGGGTGTGACTAGAACAGCCGAGCCTGCTTCTTCAGCTCGTTCCGTTTCCACAGAGCCAAACGGTCAAAGTCCTCCACGGTCATGCCGAACACCTGGACGAACTCTTCTGGGGACAGGTGGCGCTACGACGACAGAGACACAAAAACTGTGTTGTTATATTTCTGCATATTTACTCTGCTACTACTTATAAAGCTATGTGCATTCAACAAGTAATCACACCTCTTTGAATGTTTTAAGATATTGTCATGTAGCAGCAACAGGTTTTAATGGATGTTTAGACCAACACAAAATGGAGCATATTTTGAAGTGGAAGCAAAATGGTATATTAGTGTAGAAAAGTTTTGTCAATAAAAATCTGAGAAGGGTGGTGTGCATATGTTATTAATCTGATATCCCTAAAGTAAAATCTTGGGCAAAATTGCCTTCTGAAGCCACCCGATTAGTAAACAGGGTCCATATTTATGGAATGTAATTGCAGTAAAAACACAAGTGTTCTGAGACGCACTCAAAAAATGAATTTAAATTGTTCACAACAAAGCATATCTACGTGTTACAATGACCCTGTAAAAGTTCGACCTGTTCATAGATACTCATCCGATCCGAATGAGCTTAAGCTCATGAAAACGGTAAAATCAATGCTGAAAGCTGGTAGATGGATGCAGCAAAAGCTGCAGCTGCATGTCTGCAGTTTTAGCTGGCTAAGCTGTTCTACAAAAAACAACAAAAAGAAAACCCCAGCAGGTTGACTGCAACCATATGAAAACTTTGGAAAAACTGAAAAACGTTTGAAGAGCATGTATACTATTTTATCCACAACGGTGGATTATGTTGGGTTTTCAATCCTATAAAATCCCAATAACTTCTTGTGATTGAAATGTGACAACATATGAGAAAAAATTCAAATGTGTGAATACTTTGTTCGTTTTTTGTTTATGTGCAAGACGGGCATAGTTTTCTAATTTAGAGTACAAATGACAAATAGAATAAAAAGCATTACTCTGATAATTTTACTACACCCTTCAAAATCTTGGACTATACCTTTAATTTTGCAGGCCAGTTCAATTTCACCTTCCCTGCATTACTTACTTCCAGTCTTGCTCTGTCGACGTCTTTAGGCAGCTTATTCCGCCCTCTGGTGGTGACAATGAGTGATTCATATGGATAAACCTGCGGAGAAGGAAAGTTCTTTTAATCATTTCAGAAATCTGGGCTAAATAACTTTTGCATTATGTTTATGGAAGAAAATAAAAGCAATTTTCTAACCGTACCTTATACTCAGCTGCAAGAAATGAGAAACAGATTAGAGAGATTAAAGGTTTGGGTTAATTGCTTCAATCTGACAAAGGCTCAGTGTTATAAAGTCCAATTAAAGCCACCTCTACTTCCCCAGTTGACCTCGCTGCCGTCGTCATACTGATACTGGTAGCAATCTGCGCTCTGAGGCTGCAGGTGCAAGGAAGGAAACTGCGATTAACAAAAAATAATTGCTTTTGGGAATTCCCATGAAAAACACCTCATTAACGTAAAAAAAAAAAAGAAGGTGAAAACACGATTAAAATTAGCTCTGGAGTGCAATCTGATCTCACCCGCTGAATACCATTGCGCCTATATCCTGGTAGTGACGCTGACTTGCAGCCAAAATCTAAAGAATGGTCACAAAAACACACAATTAATGGATTAAAGCGTTGTACCACAAGTTAAATACTGGATTTGGCCAGGAGATGGCGATCACCACCAATAATAAAAAAAAAAGAAAGAAAAAAAGATCAAATTCCAGATGTGGGAACTGAGGCTTGGATGATTCAGTAGAAATTATTTATGAACCAACATGAGCTGAACAGCCACGAAACAAAGTATCGACAACAATAAAGAGAAAGCTAGCACCTTAAAGTATGTCACAGTTTGGTGTTTGGCAGAGCCTGAACACATTTTGACACAATGAAGATAAACTCACCACTATCAGCGCTGTACTGAGATCTTGGTGCTGTGGGACAAAGAGATCACACAATTATAATCTATATTAGCTATTCCAAGACAGACGGGACGAGTATCTGATTAGTCAGAGGCTCAGAAAAGACCATGAAATGTAGCTCTTTGGAGGCTCAGTGAGTAATGGAAACGACACACACACACACACACACACACACACACACACACACACACACACACACACACACACACACACACACACACATT